GCCGCTGATAAGCCGCAGAATGGGCTCTTGTTGGGATGAGTGACAGGAGAGTCGCTCTGATAGGGACAGACAAGGGCCTGAAAGGGACGCACCCTTGGGACACGCGGGACGCTGCCAAGCCGTCTCTGTTAACCCCTTCTGTGGCACAGCCAGCCCCGGCTCCAGCAGTAGCCGCAGGGCCACGGCCGGCCAGGAAGCTCTGCTGGCCCAGCAGGAGCGGGAGAGGGCCTCTAGAACCAGAGAGCGGGCAGGACCCCAAACGCCGGAGTACCTCAAGGACTTCTGCCCACCTCTCTGTTTGACTGGGTGGTTTCCCCCAACCTCCCGTCGTGCCCTCAAGCCTCCTGGTGCGGTTGTCTGAGAAGCATCCCTGCAACTCCCTGTCTCCCTTACCGACTGCTCTCAGGGGTGGGCTTGGGGTAGCCTTCCACCGCTCCTTCCCAGACGGCGTTGGCCAAGGCGTTGCCGATGGCTGTCATGACCATGAGAAGCTCGCTAGGCCAGTCGTCCAGATCCAAGGAGCGCACACGGGACAGGTGGGTGCCCAGGTTGCGATGAATCCCAGAGCACTCGATGCACATGAGGGAGCCCAGGTTGAGGCTTGCCCAGTCTGGATCTGAGGGCAGCAAGATCAATGGGGGAGAGTTAATACCAGCATGGACTCACCAGCTGGTCTCCTATGATCCAGGAGACCCATATCTGCAGGCACCTGCCCACCAGATGCCTTCCGAGCCCAGTGCCCCAGAAGCATGGGGAGGCCAGGACCCCAGTAAGGGGTCACGGACCAGAGTGGCATGTGGGTCAGTCATCCATCCCTGAAGAATGGGTCCACTGCAGGGGTAATCGAGGAGGTGTCTGGGGTGGAGACCCTCCTTCCTCCCCAGCAGAGCGGCCCCCTCCCAGTGTGGCGTTTCTTACTGGGAGCATCGCAGTCCACGCAGAAGCTGTTCCCGCGGGCGGTGCGCACGGCCTGCATGGCCTGGGCGTCGCTCTGGCTGCCCAGCCGCGCCTGGAACAGAACACACGGCACCCCCGGTCACCCAGGGCCACCTGCCCCACCACGGGTCCTCTCATCATCACCCCAAGAGCCTGCTGGGAGCCACCAGCACCTCGCTGGAGGGGGCACCCTGCTGGCTCTGCTGCAGGAGGGCGCCCGGTGCCGCGCTCAGAGAACAGGGGCTGGAGGGAACGTGGGTTTGTAGGAGCAGAGAGTGGAAGTGAAAAGGCAGCGCTGGCCAAGGAGGGAGCCAACAGCCCAGGATCCAGCCCCAGCGGGATGCAGAGAGCTCCGAGGGGCTGGAGCCAGGCTGGACAGAGGACAGGGAGCACAGAGACGTGACAGGAAACCCGAGGGGGAGCAGCACAATCCCAGGGCTGGGATTGAAGCCTGACTGGGAGCAGATGGATTGGGATGGGTTCCAGCGTGGATGCAGAGGGAAGCCTGGGACAGGGACAGACACAGCAAAGCAGATGCTAGAGAGGAGGGAACAAAGCAGAACTCAGTAGAGGCCTCTTACCTTGTTTTTGCTGCTCTCACAGCCCTGCAGGCTGGCCAGGATCTGGCTCTCAATAGCCTGGACCCAAAGCTCTCGCTCCTCTGATGTTGAGGCCTCAAAGAGCCATGTCTGGCCCGTCAGGGACACAATGATGAATTCAAATGGCTCATCTGGTTCTGGAAAAGAAAGGTGTGCTGTGAGATGCGCCAGGGAAGGAAGGGGCCTTTCTGCTGGCCCTGAGGGACACGGGCCACAGGCAGATCCCTGCGGGCCAGCGCCGCGCCCACAGATGGGATGGATCCCTGGCAGCGGTGCCGCAGGAGGCAGAGTGTCTTCAGGAGCACCCAGAGCCAGTGCCAGCCTGTCCCTCCTGCTGCTCCCACAGCCCCCTGTGTGCCATGGGCTTGCCCACTCTTCCGCACCCCGACAGCGGCGACCTGCCTGCCCTGCTGCCCCGGGCCGGGGAAGGGGGGGGCACTGGGCTCCCAAAGCTGCTTGTGCCCTGCTCTCCGTGCCCTGTGTCCTGGCCCTGCAGAGAGCTGCCCACCTCCTGAGCAGCAAGATCAGCTGCCCCCAGAGCTGGTGCCCCCACAGAGCTCCACGGACCCACACGACAGGGCATGGCTGGTCTTTTTCCATAGAGAAACACCAAGGCACAG